GATGGAGGTTATTCTCAATGTGAAGACGGGACTTCGTCTCCACAAGGACTGTGCGATGGTCACTCTTACCGATACTGTCATGGACAGATGCAACTGCAGCCATTACATGTGTGCCATTACCAGCCTCTCGAAGCACTTCATAATGATGGATGTCAGAGCTACCATGTGGTAATCATAAATGCGCATTACCAGATTTTTCTTTGGCACCGAAATGATAGTGGTCTTCTTGAAGCAGGTGGAAACCTCACATTACAGTAAGGAGAGGTTAAAGATGCCTGCAAATACTCCCGCCAGCTGGTCCATGCAAGATCTGAATGCGCAGTCATGGAATTCATCCAGGCCGGTCGCTGTCAGTGGGTTCACTCTCAAAAAGGCCGATCTGATGTCTGTGGGCAGTGACTGTGGGTACAGGTACACGTGAGGCTGTCGGTCATTTCACTGACCTTCTGTTCAAAACGAGCATAAAATGGATTGAGCTTATCAGGGAGGGATGCATTGTCATCAGCAATTTGACTGGACTTCACTTTGTAGCCCGTTAAATCTTATAAGCCACGGCACAGTTGACTTGTGTTTGTGTGGTCAGTCTGGGAGTCTAGTTTGTCTCTTGGCATCCCTGACAGCTTTGTGAAGATCATACCTAGATTTCCTGTAGAGGTTAAGGTCACCTGACTTGAATGCCTCAGACCAAGACTTCAGTAGGGAGTGGCTCTTCTAGTACATGCATGGTTTCTGTTTGGGGAACACTTGGTTTAGTTTCTTTGGCATGCAGTCTTCTATACACTTGTTGATGAAGGCTGTGATGGTTGTGGCATAATCATTTATGTTGGCAGCTGAGTTCTTGAGTATGGGCCAGTCTGACTCCAAGCAGTCACGTCAGATACTGCCTGGGCTGTAGAGTTTCAATTACAGAGTCATGGAGTCATAGAGATGTACAGCACGGAAACAGACCCTTCAATCCAACTCGTCCTTGCCAACCAGATATCCTAGATAAATCTAGCTCCTTTTGCCAGCATTTGGCTGATATCCCTCTACACCCTTCCTATTCATATACCCATCCGGATACCTTTTAAATGTACCAGCCTCTATCACTTCCTCGAGCAGCTCATTTCAAAAAACGCACCACCCTCTGTGTGAAAATGTTGCCCCTTAGGTCCCTTTTCAATCTTTCCCCTCTCACCTTAAACCTATGCCCTCTATTATTGGTCACCCCCACCTCAAGGAAAAGACCTTGAGTATTCACCCTTTCCATGACCCTCATGATGTTATAAACCTCTATGAGATCACCCCTCAGCCTTCAACACTCCAGGGAAAATAGCCCCAGATTATTTAGCCTCTCCTATAGCTCAAACTCTCCAACCCCGGCAGCATCCTTGTAAATCTTTTCTGAACCCTTTCAAGTTTCACAACATCCTTCCTATAGCAGGGAGACCAGAATTGAACACAGTATTCCAGAAGTGGCCTAACCAATGTCATGTACAGCTGCAACATGCCCTCCCAACTCCTAGACTCAATGCACTGACCAATAAAGGAAATTGTACCAAAACACCTTCTTAACTATCCTGTCTACCTGTGACTCCACTTTCAAGGAACTTTGAACATGCACTCCAAGGTCTCTTTGTTCAGTAACACTCCCCAGGACCTTACCATTAATTATATAAATCCTGGCTGGTTTGCCTTTCCATAATGCAGCACCTTGCATTTATATAAATTAAACTCCATCTGCCACTTCTCGGCCCATTGGCCGATCTGATCAAGATCCCGTTGTACTCTGAGGTAACCTTCTTCACTGTCCACTGTACCTCCAATTTTGGTGTCTTCTGCAAACTTACTAACCGTACCTCCTGTGTTCACATCCAAACCGTTTATATAAATGGCGAAAAAGCACTGGAACCAGCACTGATCCTTGTGGCACACTGTAGGTCACAGGCCTCCAGTCTGACAGGTAACACTCCACCACCACCCTCCGTCTTCTACCTTCGAACCCATTCTGCATTCAAATGGCCAGTTCACCTTGTATTCCATGTGATCTAACCTTGCTAACCAGTCTACCATGAGGAACATTGACAAATGCCTGACTGAAGTCCATAAAGATCGTGTCTACCACTCTGTTCTAATCAATCAATGTTCTGAGTTCAAAACGTTAACAATCCACAGATGCTGCCAGACCTGCTGAAGTTTCCTAGCAATTTCTGTTTTTCTTGTCTGAAAATGGGGTTAGCACAGTTAGTTGGTTGTCTTTGACTGGTGCAAACATGATGGGCTGAAGGATCTGTTTTTATATTTTCGACATCTGTGGCTCCAAAGGAAGAAATTGGTCAAGGTGAACAGTGTTAAGAGGATCAAACAGTACAGAGTAAAAGCAGAAACAGGAGCAGCCACATTAATAGTAAGTGGCAGAGCAGGATCAAAGGCCTGAATGGCCTACCTGTTTTCTCTTTTATATATATCAAAAGATTTAACAGGAAGCAGGAAGAACTCACAAGGGGGAAATGAGGAGAAGGGCATGTTTACAGGGAGAAATGAAGACGGCATTGGGAGGAGCTTCATAAAGGGCAGAAACTCCAGCAATGGCTAGATGGGCAAATGACCCTGGTGCTACACTGGAAATACTTTGCAGAAGGCATTCGGGTGTGTTGCTACGGTGCATTTCAGCTTACTTTGCTGGTGGCACAGGCTGGACTATAGGACAGGTTGCCTTGGCAACATGCCCATTCTACCCAGCTTATTGCTATCATTGGAGACTTCCAGCCAGGAGGGAATTGAATAACCTCAAGCTGTTTGGTCAGCAGGGTGAGGATTTAGAGCAGGGATTTGTTGTGGGGGAGGGGTGTGTGTGTGTGGTGGTGTCAGTACCGACTGTGAAACACATGGTTTAGGGACGCATTGAAAAGGGAGTGTCCTTATCCTGGCCTGGATGGTAGACAGTGGATGTCTTGCGGGGACATGAGATGCGGTAAACATTATGAGAGGGGACAGAATGGAATGGGATGAAAGGAGAATAAATCAGGATAGGCATCCAGAAGTGAAGCTTCCCCAGGCAGCATGTTGTACCTGCACAAGATTCCTTCGTGTGACATTTGACCATATTTATATTAATAGGCGTTACATTTTTAATTTATTAATTCACAGGATGTGGGCATCACTAGCTGGGACAGCTTTAATTATCAATCCCTAATTGCTCAGCGGGCAATTAAGATTTAATCACATTGGATCTGGAGTCACATGTAGGTCAAACTGGGTAAGGATGTCAGATTTCCATCCCTAAAAGACATTAGCAAACCAGATGGCTCTATTTTAATGACAGTTGACATGATCGCTAGCTTTCAATTCCAGATTTCTTTAAATTGAATTCAAATTTTACTATCTGCCATGATAGGATTTCAGCACATCTCCCTAGTGCTCCTGGATTACTTGTGTAGTGACATTACCATTGCAATACCCCAGTTCAATAATGAAGTTAATTTTGCTTCAGCTCCTTGCTGGTTTGTTGTGGGATCTGTTGTTTCAGTATCATAGACACCATTCCAGCTCCCCCCGAACCTTTCAGGATTGACTTAAAAAGCAGAAATACTTAGCCGTCTTGTGAATAACTTGTGGGATCTCACTGTGCACCCAATGTTGCCATGCCAACTGCTATATTGAAGGGTGGAGCAGGTTTGCAAGGCTGAATGGTCTCCTCCTTTTTCTGTTTTCTAAGTGTTCCATAAGACCATAAGATATAGGAACAGATCTCCTTCACCATTCAATCATGGCTGGTATGTTTCTCAACTCCGTTATAGAGTCATAGTTCCCTTGCCTTCTCCTTCTAATCCTTGTTCCCTTTACTAATCAAGAGCTATCTCTGTCTTAAATACACTCAATGACTTGGCTTCCACAGACCTCTGTGGCAATGATTTCTACAGATTAACCACACTCTGGCTGAAGAAATTCCTCATGTCAGTTCTAAAAGGTCGTCTCTTCTCTCTGAGGCTACGCCCTCAGGTCCTAGTTTCTCCTACGAGTGGAAACATCTTCTCTAAGTCCATTCTATCCAGGCCTGTCAGTATTTTGTAAGCTACAATCAGATCCCCACTAATCCTTCTAAACTCCATCGCGTACAGACCCAGGGTCCTCAACCGCTCCTCATATAACAAGCTCATCATCCGAGATCATTCTTGTCAAACTTCCTCTGGACCCCTTCCAACGCCAGCACATCCTTCCTTAGATACAGGGCCCAAAACTGCTCACAGTATTCTAAATGGGGCCTGACCAGAGCACTATACAGCCTCAGCAGTACATCTCTGCTCTTGTATTCTAGCCCTCTTGAAATGAACACTAACATTGCATTTACATTGGCCTCAGATAGCTAGTTTTGACAACTTTGGGCTGTTTTTGAAGGATGAGACACCATGCTACATAGGTACCCAGGCCTTTATTGATTATAATTTTGTTGGCAATGAGTTGAAGCGCCCTTGGAGTTGTATTAATATCCCGCAACTGATTGGACTGGAATGTGGACTGGTTTGTGGGGCAATGTAGAAGCAGACTGGGGCTGGTAGGTGGGGAAAGCAGGGATTGGGGCTGAATTGGATAGTGTTTAATGAGAACCAAGCACTGACAAGAAGGGCTGAACGGCCACCTTCTGTAAGACTTTCTGATTTGAACCTTGCGACTGGCTGCAACACTACATTGAGCCCCTGCTCAAAACCCTAGTTTCAGCACTCCTGTGCTTGAATTAATATCCATCCTTGGGAAGCCAATAGATCTCTGGGATCGTCCATGTTGAAAGGAGCCATCGTATATTCACATCCTCTTCACTTATCAAACCAGGCTGTGTACACATACCATCTAGTTCTGTTGGAATCAGCTCACATTCCAAACTGCTAAGTCACTTGCCCCATCTGGCTTGGATCCACTGATCTTGACTGAAGATTGGGCTGAAATGCTGAGACAGCCATGATTAAGAAATGGTTTGTGTAGTCAGTTCCATGGAGATCTGATTTGCTTTCTTTCTTCTGCAGAATCCTTCCAAGATCCCAGCCCAGAGAGCTGCAAATTGCTAGCTTCCCAAGAATTGCTGCCTAGGAATTGCAATGTCTCCACAAAGTAACTGCTTCCTGGACTATTTTACTTTGTTGAAAAACTGCCTATGTGGTTGCCTCATGATTTGTCCCATAAATTTTTTTTGACTGGACTGTCATTTATAAATGTTTTACACTTATCTTGGGATTTTGATTTTGTAAATACTGAGAGTTTTTTGGTGTATGGCGCTTAATGTTTTATCAGTATGGTTTAATAAACTGGAATAACAGAATTGATGGTACTGGCCTACTGCCTTGTTAGTGGGCCATGCTTTTATCAACAGACAAAATAAAAACTGACAGAACTGCGGATGCTGTAAATCAGGAACAAAAATAGAAGTTGCTGGAAAAGCTCAGCAGGTCTGGCAGCATCAGCTCTGAGGAAGAGTTACCAGACCTGAAACGTTAACTCTGATTTTTTTTCTTCACAGACTCTGCCAGACCTGCTGAGCTTTTCCAGCAACTTCTGGTCTTTGTTTTATCAACAGACCTTCATGATGGAGACACTCCTGTTGGACTAGGATCTTCAAAGTCATCAATAGGGCACCAAGGACATCTGATGGGACACATGATTATTAACACTGGGGACATGGTCACTGATAGGGTCTAGATTGTCACTATCATTTCAAGTAATTACTATAGAACATGTGCACCATATTTTCACCACAGAGTTTACATGATCACTCACTGGGGATGACACGATCACTAAGATTCAAGATTGTCATGGAGATGGACAAGGAGGGGTCTGAAATGGAAGTTATCAACTGGGGGATTTTAATAAGATCAGATATGATTTGGCCACGGTGGACTGGGAACAGATACTTTCAGGTCCCAGAACAGCAGCGTGCATTCAAGAAGGAAATATGCACAGTACAGAGCCAATATGCTCTAGTAAAGAACATAATAATACTGGTTGTGACCATAATAATGCAGAAAATCCTCACTGTGTGGAAACAGGCTGTTCAGCCCAATGAGTCCCCACTGAGCCCCCCAAAGACCATCCCACCCAGACCCATCCCCCTACCCTATCACTGGAACCCTGCATTTCCCATGGCCTACACACTTAACCTACACATCCCTGAACACTATGGGTAATTTAGCATGGCCAATCCACCTAATTTGCACACCTTTGAACTGTGGGAGGAAACCAGAGCACCCAGTGGAAACCCACACAGACATGGGGAGAATGTGTAAACTCTACGCAGACAGTTGCCTGAGGGTGGAATTAAACCTGGATCCCTAGTGCTGCGAGGCAGCAATTCTAACCACTGAACCACCACCAAATCATGTGAACCCTCGATGTAAAGGGAGATAACAGCATTAGATTAAGATAAGTGAAGCTTATGTCAAATACTAAGAGCTCAAAGCTGCAAAAACCATAGAGTAATATAGAATATGCAAGATGGCACTTAAATGGGAGATTAAGTAAGCTAAAAAGGGAAATGAAAGGACACTGGCAAGGAAAATAAAGGAAAATCCCAAATTCTTTTCCAGATACATTGCAGGTGAAAGGATAACAAGAGATAGAATAGTTCCCATTAGGGACCAGTGTTGTAAATTGTTCATGGAGCCAGAGGATTTAGGTAAATGAATACTTTGTGTCAGTATTCACTAGTGAGAGAGACATGATGGGTATAAAATCAGGGAGAAGGGCTCTGCTACAATGTAAGAAATTAGCAAAGTCAGAGAGGAGGCTTTAGATGATCTGACAGACTCAAAATTAGATAAGTTGCCAGGGTCAGATGAAATGCATCCCAAGTTGTTGAGTGAGTCAAGGGAGGAAACAGCAAGGCACTTGCAAAAATGTTCACTTCCTCTTTGGCCTCAGGAGAGGTGCTGTATGACTGGAGGACAGCCAATGTGTTACAGTTGTTCAAAAAAGGGAGCAAGGGATAAACCAGGAAACTGCAGGTCAGTCAGTCTAACTTCAATAAAAACCAAAAGGACTGCAGATGCTATAAATCAGGAACAAAAACAAAGTTGCTGGAAAAGCCCAGCAGGTCTGGCAGCATCTGTGAAGGAAAATAACGTTTCGGGTCCAGTGCCTGGTTCTGAGGATGGGTCAGCAGGCCCGAAACGTTAACTCTGTCTTTTCCTTCACAGATGCTGCCAATCTAACTTCAATGGTGGGGAAACTATGGGAAACAATTCTGAGGGACAGAATTATTCTGCATTTGGGCAGGCAGGGATTGAAGAACAGACAGCATGGCTTTGTAAAGGGGAGGTCATGTCTGACCAACTTGACTGAATTTTCAAAGAGGTGATCACTTGTATCAATGAGGTGTATGAGTGTGTTGTTTGCTTGGACTTTTGATAAGATCCCGCATGAGAGACTGATTGCAAAGGTCAGAGCCCCCGTGATCCAAGGAAACCTGGGGAATAGGATCCACAATTGACTGAGTGGCAGGAAGCAGAGGGTGATGGTTGACGGGCGTTTTTCTGACTGGAAATCTGTGTCCAGTGTGTCCCACAGGGGTCAGTGCTGGGGCTTTTGCTGTTTGTGGTTTATATAAATGATTTAGACTTGAATGTAGGAGGGTTGGCCAGTAAGTTTGCATGATAAGGATTAATAAATGAGTCTTTATGGGTTGAGTTTAGGAGCAAAAAAGAAGGCAGTCACACTACTAAGAGTATACTACTGCCCCCCAAATAGTGAGAGGGAGATAAAGAACATGTATGTAGACAAATTCCTGCCAATAGGAATAAGAGAGCAATAATAGTAGGGGACTTTATCGCAATATCAAATGGATTTCAAATAATACAAGGGGCATTGAGGATAATAAATTCATGTCCCATGTCCAGGAATTTTTTTTTTAAACAATATGTGACAAACCCAATGAGAGGGGATACAATTCTGGATTTGGTTTTGGGAAATGAAGATGGGCAAGTGGGTGAAGTGACCATAGGTAACCATAATAGGTGACCATATCCAGGATAGTGACCACAATTCGGTTAGATTTAGTATTATTATGGAAAAGAGCAGACACAAATCAGGAGTAAAGGTTTTTAACTGGGGGAAGGTAAATTTTACGAAACTGAGAAGTGATTTGGCTGAGGCGGTCTGCACAAGACTGCTAAAGGATAAATCAGTGGTAAACCCATGGGAGGCACTAAATAGTGAGATCCTTAGGGCACAATGCAGACATATGCCCCCCAGATATAAGAATGGTCCTGCCAAATCTAGACTCCCATGGTTGTTTAGAAGAATACAGGGGAAGATTAAACAGAAAAATAAAGGGTATGATAGTCACAAACCTCACAGCGCTACAGATAGCCTCCAGGAGTATAGAAAGTACAAAGATCAAATGAGGAGAGAAATAAGCAAGTCAAAGAAAGGTCATGAAAAAATATTAGCAAATAAGATAAAGGAAAGCTCAAAGATGTTTTACCAGTATATAAAGAGCAAAAGGATAGTTAAGGAAAACCTATCAGAGATGAAAAAGGGGAACTTGTCTGAAGATGCAGAGGATATGGGAAGAATTTTGAATTAATTTTTGGACTCAGGATTCACAAAGGAAAGGGATGATGTGGATATAGTAATCCAAGAGGAGCAGCGAGAAATACTGGACAAAATAATCGTAATGAGAGAGGAAGTGTTAGAGGAGCTGGAATCCTTGACAGTGGATGAGTCACGCAGGGTCAGATGGATAGTATGCTAGGATGTTGGAGGAGGTCAGCGAGGAAATAACAGATGCTCTGAGGATTATTTTCCATCTTTACTAGTCACTGGTGAGTGCTGGAGAACTAGGGTAATGCAAATATGATTGTCTTGTTTAAAACAGGTGTAAAGGAAATGCCAAACAATTATAGGCCAGTTAGTTTTACCTCGCTGGTGGGCAAATTGTTAGAATCAATCCTGAAAGATTGACAGACTGTCACTTAGAAAAGCATGAGCTAGTCAGGGTTAATCAGCATGGCTTTGTTGAGTGAAAGTCATGCTTTATAGATTTGATTGAATTCTTTGAGGAAATGACAAGGAGGATCAATAAGGATTGTGTAGTGGGTATTGTCTACATGGATTTTAGTAAAGCATTTAAGACAAGGTCCTATTTGGCAGATTGGTCAAAAAAATCAAAGCCTATGGGATGCAGGGTATTTTGTCAAATTGGACCCAAGGTTGGCTTAGTAACAGGAAACAAAGTACAACGTTTAAATAAACGAGTTGCATCACACTGCAACACCCCAGAACTCCAGAGAATGGAAGAGGAACACCTACACAAAGTTTTCACTGACAACAGATACCCAAGAAGTTTCATCCTCAGATGCCTACAAAACAAATGACAGTTAGAGGACACAGTACAACAGAAGACACTAGCAATGCTGCCCAACATCAAAAATATATCAGAAACGACTACCAGGCTCCTAAGACCGCGTAAGATCATGATTGCACACAAACCTACAGCAACACTGCATCAATTGTTATCAAAGACCCTATACTGACAGTAAACAATGTGATATACAGAATACCGTGCAGCGAGTGCAATAAACATTACATTGGGCAAACAGGGAGGAAACTGATGACCAGGATACACAAACACCAGCTGGCAGTAAAAGGACACGACCAATATTCACTTGTCTCAATACACACAGACAATGAAGGCCATCAGATCGACTGGGACAAAGTGACCATACTGAGACAAGTGAACAACCAGACATGCAAGGGAATTTCTGGAAGCCTGGTTCTCAACGCAGGACTCTATTAACAAACACTCGGAAATAAACCCCGTATACAGACCACTGCTAAAACAACAGAACTGGAAGCGACAAGACCATCACACCAGAGGATCATATAAATCTGGAAGGAAGCAGAACACTAACGCTTCGATTAGAGGTCGTACGGATGATGTTGCCTAGAAAGGTAACGAAATATCTGCCCACCAGAACGCCGAGCTAACGTACAACTGCACCCACAACCTGAGCTACAAATTTTCGCTAAGACCTTACTAGGATGTTGCCAAGGCTGGAGAAATGTAGCTCCAAGGAGAGTTTGGAGAGGTTGGGATT